AGTTTCAGCAAAACCATTTAAAAGATAAAAATATGATCAATTGCTATTCTTGTTCCACTTACGTAAATAATTATGTTGAGTTTATTGAAACGTGACTTATTTTGCAAACAAATTAATCTTAATTTGGCTCTCTTTGGTGGAAATGAAGGTGATTTTAGAAAAGTTACGTTTCAGTAATATATTTTGTGGATATCAGGTTCTAGTATTGTTAAAAGCATCTTTGAGATTTTGATATTTACCTGTAATCTAGACTAGATCCTGAATTCTCCTAGTTTCCACTAGTATCTGGCTATGACTCTCCAAACTAACACTTCCAGTTTTCCTTGCATCTTTTTTGACTTGGAATCATCGGGAACTAAAAATGTCCTTTTCCCAAAATTGTGTAAGCTAACATTGGACAGCTTGCCTATAAACTTCAGAGAAACCATCATAACAACTCATGGATAGACCATCTTTATGCCTGTTGTTGTATGAGCGACTCAAAAAGTTTACCTAAACCCTTGACGACATTTCACGCTGCAAACGATGCTCCAACCTGACGCTGAGAAGCCTTCAGCCGACGCCCTCTGCACTTGGTGCCTTGCTGTGACCTGGACTGAAGCCCGTCGTACTGACCATTGCTCCCTCGGTTCTCTCGGATGTTTTTAAGGGTCTGTGCCTTGTTTCTCTTACTGATGTACCGCGATGCCCTCCACAGCCGTGATGACTGTTTGACGTCGGGATGGCTGACCACTCCTGTAAGATTCCTCCTGAAGAAGATCCACAGACTTCTCCTATGCTGAACACTGCCTCAGACTCACTTTGCAGAAGACTTCTTGCTCAAATGTGGCCAAAATCTCTCTGAAAGCCAAACTGGTGCACAACCATCTCTTTCTCTCCTCTGTGGGACATGACTCTCTGGGAATGAGTCTTCCTAGAGCCAAATGAGTTGGCACCAATGCCAAATAACCAAACAGTAGATCACTGATGCTTTCTAAGTCTTCCCAGGTGGTGCTAGTGGTAAAGAACCCACCTGCCAATGCAGCAGACATAAGAAAGGTGGGTTCGATCCCTGGGTCGGGAAGATCCCCTGGAGAAGGAAATGACAATCCACTCCAGTATTCTTGCCTGGAGAATCCCATGGATAGAGGAGTGTGGCAGGCTCCTTTGCAACAGGGTTGCAAAGTGCTAGACACAATTGAAGTGACTTAGCACATTTTCTAAAGAAAAATTTAGGTCAAAAGGAAATGTGAAAGAAAATCAAGCTAGAGTCAGAATCACTAAGAAAGCTCTCTAAAATGGAGCCTGAGAAGTGGGGATGTATTGAACAGTATGACTTATGTACATGGCAGCCTGGGTGGAATCTGACATTTTGACCTGCTGAAGTCATCCAGAATATCTGCCAAAACTCCAAGATACTTATCAGATCCCTACCCTAAAATAACTTGTGATTCCTTAAGAACAAATCTTCTTTAACTTACATCAGAGTCAATTCAGTTCTCACCAGAAAACTTTTACAGTCTCACAGTTTTTGTCTTTATAAGCCCCTGATTTTCTCTTACATGTTGCTGCTGTTCAGTTGCTAAGTCATGTGCACCCCATGAACTGCAGCACGCCAGGCTTCTCTTGTCTAGAGTTTGTTCAAACTTATGTCCACTGAGCTGGTGATGCCACCCCCCCATCCTCTTTCTCCCTCTTCTCCTCCTGCCCTCAATCTTTCCCAGCATTAAGGTCTTTTCCAATGAGTTGGCTTTCCACATTAGGTGGTCAAAGTATTGGAGCTTCAGCATCAGTCTTTCCAATAAATATTCAGAGTGATTTCCTTTAGGATTGACTGGTTTGATCTCCTTGCTGTCCAAGGGACTCTCAAGAGTCTTCTCTAGCACCACAATTTGAAAGCATCAATTCTTTGGCCCTTACTTGGAACATATCTTGAGGTTACTAGAATCTGTGCCTCCCAAATCCTTAAAACCCCTAGTGAAGTCTATTTTCTTATTTGCAGCCCCCTGGATTTTTTTTTTTTTTTGGTTGACAATAGTACCTCTGTTTAACATTTTGAACAACTGCTGCACTGATTTCCAAGATGAATGCATTTTACATCTCCATGAGCAGCATCAGAGGGCTCTGATTGCTCCACATCCTCACCAGCACTTGTTATTTTCCATGAAAAAAAAGTATAGCTATCCTTGTGGCTAAAAGTGGTCTCTCATTGTAGCTTGATTTGCATCTCCCTGGTGACTAATGGTGTTGTCTCTTGTCACGGGCTGATTGGCCATTGAATATCCTCTCTGGAGAGATGTCTGTTCAGACCCTCTGCCATTTCTGTTACTCTCTTTGGGATCCCATGGACTGCAGCCGGCCACGCTCCTCTCTTCATGGGAGTTCCCAGGTAGGAATACTGGAGTGGGTCGCCATCTCCTTCTACAGGGGATCTTCCCGGCCCAGGGATTGAATCCAAGTCTCCTGCATTGGCAAGTGGATTCTTTTTTTTGTTTTTTCAGTCTTCAAGTATTTTTTTATTGGAAAGCCATGCATTGCCTTCATTTATCGTATTTCAAATCATTGTACGTTTACTTTTATGAAAACACTGCTTGCATTTTCCAGTACAAAAAAAAATTGTTTCAGGAACGTAGAGAAATATCCAACTTAAACAGTGAAAAAGTGCACTGTAATTACTACTGCATTGCAGTAATTTCTGCATTTTCTGTGTTTCTTAAATAACTACCTTGTCTGATAACACACAATATAAAGAGCATTTATGAAAAACAGACATTTACATATATATCTAAAGTCTTATTGAGAATATCCTCTTGGCATCAGATAACCAATCACAGGTGCAGCCGCAGTGACGGGATATGCGTACACGTATTGGTTCATACCGTTGGCAAGTGGACTCTCTGCCATGAGCCACCCACTAAATTGGGCTCTCTGTGTCTTCACTGTTGAGTTGTAAAAGTTCTTTACATATTCCTCCTTTATATACTCTAGATACAAGTATAAAAAGAGAAATGATTTGCAACTATTTTCTCCAACCTAGTGGGTTGTCTCTTCACTTCTTGACAGTGTCCTTTTCGTGTTTTAATTTTTTTTTTCTTAACTTGGCTGCACCATGGGTCTTATCTGTGTCATGCAGGATCTTTAGTTGAGACATGTGGGTCTTAGTTCCCTGGCTAGGGATCGAACTCAGGCCTCCTGCATTGGGAGTGGGAAGTCTTAGCCCCTGGACCACCAGGGAAGTCCAACACATCAGCCGTGATGACGTCTCATTGCTGCAGTTTTCCTTCGTCACCTCTGCTTCTGGTGTCATATGTAAGACACCGTTGATCCAGTATTATGATGATTTACTCCCAGGTTTTCTTCTAAGAGTTTTATAGTTTAAGCTCTTGTGTCAAGGTCTTTGACCCACTTCGAGTTTATTTTTCTGTGTGCTGTGAGGTATCTGTCCTGATTCCTGCTTACAAGTCCCTCCCACCACCTGTGACCTGGAAAACTCCTATGTTTGCATCAAGACCCTGCGTGCGTCTCCGCTTGTGTGAAGGCGAGGCCCTATCCGCACGCCTGGGCAGCCTGCACTGCTCCCTGGGATGTGGGCTCACAGCCAGTCCTGCTCTGAAGCTGGTCATCTCTGAGTCAACCCTTAGGTGCACAGGGGCTGTTCTGCAGGGGTGCTGATCAAGCAGCCAGCAATGACGGCAGCACCCGCCAGCGGGGGTCTGCGGCGGAAACTCCGCAAGCCCCACCACCACGCTTACCAAGGGCCACACAGCTGGGCTCACAGGACACAAATGGGGAGACTGAGCCTCAGGGAGCATGAGCATCAGTTGCTCAGTCATGTCTATTTGTGACCCCATGGACTGCAGCAGGCCAGGCTTCCCTGTCCTTCACCATCTCCTGGAGTTTGCTCAAACTCATGTCCATCGAGTTGGTGATGACATCCAACCATCTCACCCTCTGTCATCCCCTTCTCCTCCCACCTTCAATCTTCCCCAGCATCAAGGTCTTTTCCAATGAGTCAGTTCTTTGCATCAGGTGGCCAAAGTATTGGAGCTTCAGCTTCAGCATCAGTCCTTCCAGTGAACACCCAGGACTGATCTCCTTTAGGATGGACTGGTTGGCTCTCCTTGAAGTCCAAGGGACTCTCCAGAGTCTTTTCCAACACCACAGTTCAAAAGCATCAGTTCTCTGGTGCCCAACCTTCTCTATGGTCCCATTCTCACATCTGTACATGACTCCTGGGAAAACCAGAGCTTTGACTAGAAGGACCTTTGTCAGGAAAGGGATGTCTCTGCTTTTTACTACGATGTCTAGGCTTATCATAGCTTTTCTCCAGAGGCAGTAGTGTGTTTATAATGCAGATCAAACCCGAACATGTGCCGTGCGTAGTCCTCACACTGAGTATTCTTCCAGAAGGTAAGTTCCTCCAGCACAGGCTGGCTCCGTGGAGGCTGGCAAGGCGGGGTCAGGGTTCGGCTCCGTGACGCCCTGCTCCTCCGGGCGAGCCCTGCTGGACGGCCTGTGACCAGTGCAGGCTCCAAGTCAGGTGGTTCACTAGGCCCCTCTGCCTGAGGCTCACCAGGCCAGCTCCTGGCAGGCACCTGCGCACGCCTGGCCCCAACCCCCAGCCCGGGAGGACAGCGGCCCCGTTATTGATGACAGCGACGATGGCAATGCAGACGCTGCGCGGCGGGGCGGCTCTGCCGCTCCGTGGTGCGGTGTGAGCGCCTCCCCGTCTCCCTCTCGGCCCGGTTTTGGTCCCTATCTGTGCCCCCTGCGCCAGGAGCCTGTGCTGACCGAGCCCCGACTTTGGGGCCCCAGGGCCCTGCCTTCTACCACTGTCATACCTCGCTCTTCTCTCTTCCGGGGGAGGCTTCCTTCTGTCCCTGTCGGCAGGCTCCCCTTCCCCCCAGGCGTGGTTTTTAACTTCACTTCATCGTCGCTGAGAACGGTTAGACCTCGCCGGGAGCGGTTCTGAAATCCCGCGTCCTCTGCTCCCGGGGCCGCGCTGCCCCCTGGCGGCGGCCTCAGAGGCGGCGCCTGCGGGGGGCGGAGAGGCCGCCGGACAGACGGGCAGATTCCGGCCCGGGAAGGGGGCGTGAGGAGCAGCTCAGAGCCGGCCCCCCGGCCNCACACTGACAAAATCACACACCAGCTTTCTGACAGCAGGCTCTCACACGGGGACCCCGTAGCCAGCACTGTCCCCCACCATCCTACTCACCCACTGGACTCAGCCTAGCTCTGTCTCTCTGTCTCTCTGTCCCTGTCTCTGTCTCGCTGTCTGTGTCTCTCTCTCTCCATCTCTCTCTCTGTCTCTGTCTCTCTGTCCATGTCTCTGTGTCTCTGTCTGTGTCTGTCTGTCTCTCTGTCTCTCTGTCTCTCCATCTCTGTCTCTCTGTCTCCCCATCTCTCTCTCTGTCTCTCTCTGTCTCTGTGTCTCTCTGTGTGTCTGTCTGTCTCTCTCTCTGTGTCTCTCCATCTCTGTCTGTGTCTCTCTCTCTGTGTCTCTGTCTCTCTGTGTCTCTCCATCTCTGTCTCTCTCTCTGTGTCTCTCTGTGTCTCTGCCTCTCCATCTCTGTGTCTCTCTCTGTCTCTGTGTCTCTGTGTCTGTCTCTCTGTCTCTCCATCTCTGTCTCTGTCTCTGTGTCTCTCCATCTGTCTCCATCTCTGTCTCCCCATCGCTCTCTGTTTCTGTCTCTGTGTCTCTCCATCTGTCTCCGTCTCTGTCTCCCCATCTCTCTCTGCCTCTGTCTCTGTGTCTCTCTGTCTCTCCATCTCTGTCTCCGTTTCTGTCTCCCCATTTCTCTCTGTCTTTGTCTCTCTGTGTCTCTGTCTCTGCATCTCTGTCTCCCCGTCTCTCTCTGTCTCGGTCTCTCCCGCACTCCCCTCCCCTGCACCGCCCTCTGCCCCGCCCCCGGCTCACCTCTCCTCTGCACCGTGAGGCTAGCAAAGAACCGGTAGTTGCTGGCGCAGAAGGTGCGCACGGCGGCGCGGGCCCGCTGCAGGGCGTGGGGCCAGCGGTTCCAGCGCTCGGCCGCCGGCCGCCCCATCTGGGTCCGCGCGCGGTACTCGCCCACGAGGCTGTCGAAGCGCACCTGCTCCTCGCGGTTGTAGATGTACCTGTCCAGGAAGCGCACGTGCCGCGTGCCGTTGGCGAAGTGACACTCGGACTTGCCCTGCACCATGAAGAGTGCTGCGGGGCGGGAGCGCCCTGGTCACGGGCGCCCGGGCCGCGGGGCAGCGACGGCCCCCAGCGGCTCCCCGGCCCGCGGAGCCCGGGTCCGCGTCCCCCGCCAGCCGCGCAGGGAACACGAGCTCTGCCCCTGAGCCGATCGGGCTCCTCTTGGCCACCCGGCTCTCCTGGCGTCGCCACGTGCGGCCTGGCCGGGGTCCCACCACCGCCTCCTCCTGGGACCCTCCACCGCAGAGACACCGCCGCTGAGGCCCCCACGATCTCTGCCTCCCCGCGGCCGCCCCCGCCTCCTGTGAGTGCTTGGTCAGGACGTCCGCCGGCAAACCCTCGCTGACCCTGAGATTCCAGGAAGGGGAGAACGGGCACCGGCAGCTTGAGATTTAGTGAGAGGGATGGACAGAAACCAAATGCACAGCCATTTGTAGGGGAACGAGGAATGTCAGGATAACAGGGTGGGGCTCTACGAATGCTAGGAGGATCTAAGTTAGGTTAGGACGTTGGAGGCAGGTCTCTGAAAACACGTAAGGTGTGAGGTGTAAGGGGAAGTGGCTGAGAGCTCGAGGAACTCTGTGTGTTTAGGGGAAAAAGAGAGACACATTTTAAGTGGAAAAGTGGAAAAGAAGAAGTGTGGAAAAGCTGAAAGAACTGATGAACTTCCTCAAGAAGACAGTTCACTGAAGCACAAAAAAGTGAGAGAAAGGAGGCTAAAAGATGAGACTGCACAAATTACATGGAACCAGGCACTTGTAGGTAATATTAGGATTTTGACTTTATGCTAAATGTAATGCAAACTATTGATGAGTTGTAGGAGATTAAAACTGTAATCTGAGGACAGGTCCCCCATTCCTTTTCCTAGTCTGGACAGCTCAGAAAGCCAGATTTTCCAAAAATTTGGTGCCACGATTCATTTGGCAATTCTGACCTGCTGAGGGAAAGGGTCAGCTGGGTCTCTTATTGGTTACACATGGCTCTGTAGCTTCTCTGTGTATAAAGATACAGAGATACAAATATACACATACATACCATATGAGTGTATATATTTTAAATTTTGGGGGTCTTTTCTTAAATTGCAGTATCATTGATTTACAATATTATATTAGTTCCAGGTGTACAACACAGTGATTCAATACTGTTATAGAGTATACTCCATTTAAAGTTATTACAAGATAATGGCTATATTTCCCTGTGCTGTACTATATGTCTTTGTTGCTTATTTATTTTATACATAATACTTTGTATCTCTTAATACCATACCCTTGTCTGGCTCTTCTAGCCTTCCGGTTTCCCACTGGTAGCCACTAGTTCACACTTTGTGAGTCTGTTTCTGTTCTGTCATATACATTTGTTTGTTTTATGTTTTGGATTCCACTTATAAGTGATAACAGAGCATTTGGCTTTTTCTATCTGACTTCTTCCACTAATCTTAATACTCTCTAGGTCCATCCATATTGTTGCAAATGGCAGAATTTCATTCTTTTTTATGACAGTAATATTCCATTGTATATGTACCACATTTGTATCCATTCATCTGTCAATGGACACTTAAGTTGCTTCCACATTTTGGGTATTGTAAATAATGCTGCAGTGAATGAACACTGGGATGCATGTCCTTTGGGATGCAACATTGGGATGCATGAACCCCTGCAATCTAATCTCCATGTGGTAGCTAGAGTTATTAAAAAAAAATATATATATATATATAGGGCAGTGGTTCAGTGGCTAAGACTCTGAGCTTCCCATGCACAGGGCCAGCATTCACTCCTTGATTAGCGAGCTAGATCCCATGTGCTGCAACTAAAATCCCACATGCTGCCACTAAAAAAAAGATCGCGCATGCTGCAACTACAGATCTGCATGCCGCTACAAAGATCGAAGATCCCGCATGCCACAATTAAGATCCAGCGCAGCCAAATAAGTAAATAAATATTAAAAAATATACAAATGGACTCAGTTTGTAACTTCCCTTAGTAGCTTCCCTACAGTATCTCTGTAAATAAAAGTCAAATTTCTCATCATGGCCATTGGGGCCTAACATGATTTGGCTCCTGACTTTCTCTCCAACGTCATCTTATTCCATTCCCCCACCTGCTTTATCTGTTTCAGCTGCTCAAACCTTCTTTCTGCCCCTTAAACATAGCAAACATCCTCCCATATTTCTGTCTTTCCCTTGGTTCCTGGAGTATTTGTCCTTTAGATATTTCTCATGATTGTTTTCTTCTCATCATTTATTGGATGTCACTTTCTCAGGGAAAGCTCCCTAGACACTTGCACTGAAGTCAGATGGATACTCTCTCTCTCTCTCTCTCTCTCTATATATATATATATATATATATATATATGGCTCAGACAGTAAAGAATACGCCTGCAATGCAGCAGACCTGCATTTCATCCCTGGGTCTAGAAGATCCCCTGGAGAAGGGAATGGCAACCCACTCCAGTATTCTTGCCTGGAGAACCCCAGGGACAGAGGAGCCTGGTTGGCTACAGTCCATAGTGTGGCAAAGAGTCAGACACACCCACACTCACTCATCACATATAATATATATATATATATATATATATATATATATATACACACACACACAGCATTTACTACTGTTTCAAATGTTTTTCTTCGTTCCATGTTTATTGGGTTGTTGTCTTTCTTTCTCATCATTAGGTAACTTCCATGATCTTAGTGGACTTTTCTATATTATTCTAATAGAATTCACTGAGTCTAGTACATAATAGTTGCTCAAAAAAGTACTTGTCATTTATGGTTTTGGGAATTAATCTTTGTGGGGCTTCTGGAAAGCAGGAAGGGGCTCCCACGCCAACACAGTTTTGTAATCATGACACCTTAGTTTCCCCAGCCAGAGTCAAACCTGTGCCCCCTGCAGTGGAAGGTGGAGTCTTAACCACTGGGCCACTGGGGAAGTCTCTATATCTTATGTCTCTTCTATATCCTCTGAGAAATTCAGACTAACTTCCTCTTTCTCTTCTTTCTACTGTAAAGAAACATTCACAGGTGATTTTAAGAGACAGGGAACACTTCATGAAGTTTCATCTCATCCAGTGTGTCTGTTATAGTGCTAAAGGTTTGTGCAAACTTTGGGAATTTTCAGTAATGGTGGTGACATGATTGGGGAAAGAATACAGAGAAATGGAGGGAGAGGTAATCAAAGATGGCTGATTATAGAAAACTGTTGGCATGATGAATGAACATATGAAAATTGGGCTCAAGACTCCAAGAGGTAATGAGTTCCCTTGACTTCCTTATTGGCTCTCAGCCCCGTGGGATGGAAACAGCCTTGACACTCTCAGCATCCTGCTCAGGGTATATGGTTTGAACCATATGAAATGGCTGGTATTTGACTATTTGGGGTTTATAAAGAAAGTGAAAGTGAAAGAAAGTGAAGTTGCTCAGTCGTGTCCGACTCTTTGTGACCCCATGAACTGTAGCCTACCAGGCTCCTCCAACCATGGGATTCTCCAGGCAAGAATACTGGAATGGGTTGCCATTTCCTTCTCCAGGGCATCTTCCCGATCCAGGGATAGAACCCGGGTCTCTTGCATTGCAGGCAGACGCTTTAACCTCTGAGCCACCTAATTTAATACGGTCTATTCTATCCTGAGATTCCCAGGTGGCATTAGTGGTAAAGAACCCACCTGCCAATGCAGGACACATAAGAGATGCAGGTTTGACCCCTAGATTGGGAAGATCCCTTGCAGGAGGGCATGGCAATCCACTCCAGTATTCTTGCCTGGAGAATCCCTTGGACAGAGGAGCCTAGTGGGCTACGGTCCATAGGATTGCAGAGTCAGACACGGCTGAGTGACTGAACATGCACACATGCATTCTATACTAGTTGAATCTCTTCTTGTGGGTTCAGGCCAGATCAAGAGGAGATGTAACAGAAACTGAGAGGATAGGTTCAAAATAGTCACAATAAGCACTGACCTGTGCCAGGTTTTCAGTTCTTCCTGAGTTCTTTACGGAGTCACAGAATGCCCCTTAGATGCTCCTTAACTACAGGGTCATTCCGAGTACTGAGGATCCCCACTCTAGTTACAGAGTGCTTTACACAGCAGGAGAAACGAGGGAAAACTAACCCCAACTTGTGCCAGAGAACCTCCAGTCCAGGGACACAGGCCTTATAAACCACGGGGTTTAGGGAGAAAGAAAGGGAGACAATAGATAACCAACAAGGACCTACTGCATAGCACAGAGGATGCTGCTTAATATTTTGTAATGACCTAAAGGGGAAAAGAATCTGAAAAAGAATATATATATACTATGTATGTATATTATATACACACACACACACACACACACATATATGTAACTGAATTGCTGTGATGTATACCTGAAACCAACTCAATATTGTAAGTCAACTCTGAAAAAGTGGAAGTGTTAGTTGCTCAGTTGTGTCCAACTCTTTGAAACCCCATGGACTGAAGCCTGCCAGGCTTCTCTGTCCATGGAATTCTCTAAGCAGGAATACTGGAGTGGGTCGCTATTCCCTTCTCCAGGGGATCTTTCCGACCTAGGGATCGAAGCAAGATCTCCTGCAATGCAGGCAGATTCTTTATTGTCTGAGTCGCCGGGGAGCCCAGTATATACGTATCATATATATGTATGTATAGCTGAGTTGCTGACAAATATTGTAAATCAAAGATACTTCAATTGAAAAAAAGAGGAGACAGCGGGGAGGCCACTTGGTCCATCCTCACATACTGGGGAGTGGAAGCAGCTCACAGATCCCATGCAGGACACAAGAAGGGTCTTACAGGAGAGGTCTTTCTAATTCCTTTTGAATCCCCTTAAAGTTTTCAGAGGATTGTTCCCATTTTTCTGGTATAACTCAATAGAATAAATGGAATAACAAATGGGAATTATTTTGAAATTATTTATAATCATTATTAATCATTTTGAATTATTTTTGAAATTATTTCTAAATCCTCTCAAAACCCTGAGGGAATAGGATGTGAGACTGAAGAGGTTTTATTAGAAGAGAGTTGAGAAGAAATAGACTATATGCGTATATATGAAGGCTCCTTGGGCAGATCTGCTAAAGAGGGCAAGTATCCAGGCTTGTGGAAGGAATCGAGGATTCATATGATAAAGATAAGGCTTCCCACGTGGCTCAGTGGGTAAAGAGTCTGCCTGCGATGCAGGAGATGTAGGAGACGTGAGTTTGATCCCTGGGTTGGGAAGATCCCCTGGAGGAGGGCATGGCAACCCACTCCAGTACTCTTGCCTGGAGAATTCCACGGATAGAGGAGCCTGGCAGGCTACAGCCCATGGGGTTGCAAAGAGACAGACACGACGGAAGTGACTGAGCCTGCATGCAAGCGCTCATGATAAAGATAAGCAGTCACTGGAGAAGATGCTGATGTTTGAGGGATGTGGCCTGGACACAGAGGTGAAGCTAACTCCCTCCCTCCGCCTCCCTCCACAGCTGCTCACCACCCAAGGTGTGCACTTACTTCGGTTGCTTCCAGCCCAGGCCAGGAGCGGGCTCAGCACCATCAGTATCACTGGCAGAATTACTGTCCAGGAGCCTGGGGGGAACCAAAGGCACACCATGCAGGAGAAGAGAAGAAGGCAAAGTGCAGGGGAGCAGAAAAATCTCAGTGAGGACTAGGATCCCTCTCCACCCACATCTCAAATATTACCAACCTAGGAACTCATTGCTCTGTTCCTGGATTGGGTCGGCTCAGTTTGGGCGAGCCAATCAGATTCATCCGCGTTAGCATCATCAGTTGCTGGTCAGCTATTCAGTATGGAGTTCCTCTTTTGAATCCTTAGGAGGATTGTTTTAATTTCGTGCTTTAAAATTTTGATCCGTTTGTAGTTGTAGCATTTTAATTGGGGCCCTATAGTGAGCCAGCTCTGCTGGTCACCTAAGTTTTTCAGGATCATCTCCCAGCGCTGCCTCTGCCTTTAGTGGCACCTCCAGAATACACATAAGAGAAAGCTGCTTATAGCGAGTGATCTGTGTGCAACGAAGGGTCTTGAAGCTACCTTTGCAGTGTGTTACTAACAGTGTAACAGGGTCCAGGTCCTAATCCCATCCTGCAGGGGCTCAGAGATAGGTCTCAAATCAGCAACTCTGCTTTAGAATAATTAGTATTTTATGTGAAAAAGTGATTAATCCCCTCCTCCTGGTTCCCATTTTTGACTCTCCTCTTTCGACTGGGGACATGCCCCCTTCTCTTGCTTTACCGGAAGCAGATACAAGCAGATGTTGCTCAGAACACATTGTAGAGTGTTCAGTAAACAGAACCCTATGAAAAAAACTATGAATTACCTTCTTTGAGGCAATCATATGACTTACATATATCATTCTACTTTTAGGTTAATAATTACATCTTATATTAATATATGCAGTATCTGTGATTTAGAATGGACTTTAAAGGAAAGCTGTCTATCTAAAGTTCTGCATTAATTCTTTTTCTACCACAATTCTGATAAACAGTCCATCTTTATGTGCTTTAATGTATCTAGTGACAGGAAACTCACCATGCTCCATAAAAATGACTAGAACTGGTACTTTCCTGTGGCCCAGTGGCTAAGACTCCATGCTCCCAATGCAGGGGGCTCAGGTTTGATCCCTCTTGAGGGAACTAGATCCCACATGCCACAACTAAGAAGTCACATGCCATAACTAAAGATCCTGCTTGCCACAACTGAGACCCCATGCAGCCAAATAAATAAATGTATTTTTAAAATGACTGAAATTTATTGAGCAATTTTTGAGCTGGCTTTCTGTATCATCTTTTTATTGAATTCTCACATCATCTCAGTGACTGAATTACCCAAAGATGGACAGAATAAAATGGTGGAGAAGAACGACTTTTGCCAGGATGAAAATCTGGTGAGTGACACTCTCCACACTCAACCAAATTAAATGTGATTCCAAACCCCACAAGATCAGCTATTACTTCACAACAATTTACATTCAATTTCTGAAGAGAACAGGGTCCTTAGATTAAAACAATTTTTTCACTTCATCTCAATGGAAATGTGAATCGAGGAGAGGCCCATTTTAGTGAATGACAGCATCTTATATAAACTGAGACAGTTGCAATGCTGCAATTCTATTTCCTCCAAAAGTTTCCCCTCATCTTCATTGTTACTTTCCTCTGGAAATGACAAACTTGGCATGGATCTTTTGTAATGACACTAGAGCTCTTGTCCAAGTCTCCTTCTTATTGAAGATAAAAGTGACCTTAACATTCCTAAATCCAGTCCATTGGTCTCAGTTATTAGTCCAGATTTTTCAGCATAATGTAGTGCAAGTTTGAACCCTGCAAAAGAGAATCAAATGGTGTCTCACTTACTTTGGGAAAAAGATTTCTTTGCCTGTGGAAAGTTCAAAATTTTCTTGGGCAGGGAGAGCTTGAAGAGCAGTCACTATTGTCCCTGGACTTGAGGAGCATCTATGTCCCCAGGACCCCAGTGATAATTCAGTACTACCAGCAGTTGTGCAATGGCCACCAGGAAACTATTAGGTTTAATTTGACAAGCAGAGAATCATAACTTACTCAGAATTCACCAGTTGTGACAATGTGGAAAGCCTAACAGAGGTTCACCTTAGATGGCAGGATAGAAGGAATGCCGAGGAAAAGTGATTATCACAAACATACCAAAGCAGCGTGAAAGAGGGCACTACCAAAACCTATTCATATAAATCTGACACACAGTTTGTAAAATCACACAAATTTCCTTTCAAAAAGGATGGGTTGTATATATTTATGAGTAACCAGGATCTACTGCTTTAAATGTTATAAATCTCAACTTTTCTTCAATACTAATTAAACATAAGGACAATTCAGGTAAAACAATGCAGTAACTGTCACCACACCATCATCCCTAAGGTGATCTTGAAGCTGAACTTCTTCACTGAAAGCAGGAGGAGAAGCAATGCTGCTAAGCTCCAACTGTGTAAGAGAAGTCTCAAGTAACAGCTTATCTCCCAAGGAAAAGGCAGTTAATTTGGTTTCTGGAATAAAGTGGTTCTCAGTGTAGAATTTCTAGTCTCTGCTCTCGATGCATGAGACCATACGCTTGCTTCTGTGGGCAATAAATCAACACTTGGGAACAAACAAGTGGCATCACATGCACAGACCTTCACTGAACAACAAGCAAGTGGAAGTTTGTATCATTACAGGGTGCTTTGAGTCCCACTAACTGTCGCAGAATAGGATTCACCTGTAGGAAGCCTGGAAAATTGCAACACATCTGGGAAAAATGGGTTCTTCATTATCGGCAAGCTAGTTAGCATATAGACTCTCTCTCTTGTCCAAGTAGTTTAATATATTCTCTGTAGTTTTCAGAAGCTATCAGCCCTAAGCTGGAAACTGAAGTGAGAAGCAGGTCAGTGGTTCCTCTATTTAAGGAAAAATATTAATAACAGGGAATGGATCAACAGGTCCCATTTCTTCTTACCAAGGAAGACACATATCCTCCACAGGAGACTGTGTCATTTACAGGCTGCATCAGCCCTCAGCAGGCTTAATAGGATGCTTTCCAGTGAGATTTTAGCGATGTCCTCCATTAGGAACTTTAAAAAAGTATTTGTTTTTATTTATTTATTTGGTTGTGTCAGGTCTTAAGCTGTGGCCTGTGAATCCAGTTTCCTGACCAGGGATGGAACCCAGGCCCCCTGCATTGGGAGCTCGGAATCTTAGCCACTGGACCACCAGGAAGATGCTTAAAGATGATCCGGGGACAAAAAAAAAAAAAAAACAAAGAAAAAACCAACAGACTAACTATAACCACAGCAACAACAATTAAAAAAAAACAAAAAACCCTTTTCTGCGCCAATAAGTGTCGCGCGCCGCCTGCTGGCCGCCGGGCCCAGAACCGGACACTGGCTGCAGAAGCTTGCGGAGCCGCGCCCGCCGCGGACTGAGGGGCGCGAAGCGGCGACGACGCGCGGGGGCTTCAGAGCACGAAGGCGAGACCCCCGAGCTGCCGCTGGGGAGCTGGTGCGAGCGGAAAGCCGGAGCGTTAACGGGAGAGACGCAGCCCCCCGACCGCGCACTCCACGCCCCCGGCGTCCTGGCGCTCTGGACCCGGGCAGCCCAGGAGCAGGGCGGACGCCCTCTGGTTCTTGGGAGCTCGGAGGCGGGCGTGGCCTGGTGTGCGGAGCGGGTCGTGGAACTTCTTTTAGAGAATGAGGCTGCAGGTGGTCAGCCTTCCCAGCTCCTTCTGTCAGGCCGAATGCCTTGGGTCCTAGGAGGGAGGTGCTGATGAGGACGGGGTACCCAGGGCATCTTTCAGGGCAGCTCTGGGTAAATGTGCACCGTGGGAAATGTCCGCAGCCCATTTTTAATGTGTCCCCCCCCCCCCCATTGAGTTGTATGGATTTTTAAATATATTTTGGATATTAACCCCTTTATCAGATACATGATTTGCAAGTATTTTCTCCCATTCGGTAGGTTGCCTTTGCATTTTTGGTAGGTTCCCTTTGCTGTGCAAGAATTTTTTAGTTTGATGTAATTCTACTTGTTTATTTTTATTTTTTGTTGCTTTTGGGGTCAGATTTAAAAGCATCATCATCAAGACCTATGTCGAGAAGCTTAACACCTACATTGACTTCTAGGAGTCTGTGATTTCAGGTCTTGCATTCAAGTCTTTAGCTCATTTTGAGTTAATTTTTGTGTACGGTGTTATTATTGACAGTTGTCTAGTTTCATTCTTCTGCATGTGGCTGTCCGGTTCTCCTTACACCATTTACTGAAGAGACTGTCCTTTCCCCAAAGTGTATTGGCTCTTTTGTTTTAAACTAATTGACTGCAGCCATGAAATTAAAAGACGCTTACTCCTTAGAAGAAACACTATGACAAACCTAGACAGCATATTAAAAAGCAGAAACATTACTTTGCTGACAAAGGTCCGTATAGTCACAGCTATGGTTTTTCCAGTAGTCATGTATGGATATGAGAGTTGGACCATAAAGAAAGCTGAGTGTTGAAGAATTGATGCTTTTGGACTGTGGTGTTGGAGAAGAGAGTCCCTTGGACTGAAAGGAGATCAAACCAGTCCATCCTAAAGGAAATCAGTCCTGAATATTCATTGGAAGGATTGATGCTGAAACTGAAGCTCCAATACTTTGGCCACCTGATGTGAAGAACTGACTTATTTGAAAAGACCCTGATGCTGGGAAAGATTGAAGGTGGGAAGAGAAGGGGACGACAGAGGATGAGATGGTTGGATGGCCTGACCATCTGACATGAGTTTGACCAAGCTCTGGGAGTTGGTGATGGACAGGAAAGCCTGGCATGCTGCAGTCCATGGGGTCACAAAGAGTCGGATACAGCTGAGCAACTGAACCGAACTGAATTGACCATGTATATGTGAATTTATTTCTGGCTCTCTATTGTGTTCCATTGATCAGTTTTTATACTAATTCCATGCTGATTACCACAGCTTTGTAATGTGGTTTGAAATAAAGTTTGGAGGCACTATTGCTCTTACTGCATCTTCCATACTTCATGGGCTTCCCAGGTGGTGCTAGTGGTAAAGAACCTCCCTGCCAATGCAGGAGATGTAAGAGACACAAGTTTAATCCTTGGGTTGGGAAGATCCCCTGGAGGACAGTGTGGCAACCCACTCCAGTATTCTTGCCTGGAGAATACCATGGACAGAGGAGTCTGGAGGGCTACAGTCCATGGGGTTGCACAGTGTCAGACATGACTGAAGTGACTTAGCATGCATGCACATGGTTTGTAATGTTTCATTTCACAAAATATTAAGAATGTAAGGGGCTTTAGGGACTATCCAGCCAATTTCAGCCTCCACTTACTATAAATACAAATAATATCATAATGCAAATATAGCAAATCCCCTACGTACAAACCTTTAAGTTTTGAACTTTCAAAGATGCAAACATTCCTTCCATCACAGTCAGGCTTTAGTGAAACTGCAGCTTGTCCTGTCTCCTATTGCAGAACCTTCAGCTCTGCCATCTCCCACCTTCTCTCCCTCCTCGTAACTCTTCCTGCCTGTTCACTTGATGCCAGCCCGTGGATGTAAGCCAGCTATTGTCCTGTACTGCAGTCCTTTTCAAAGACTGTATTGTAAGATTAAAAATGTTTTATCTTTTGTGTTTTTTCATGTATTATTTGTGTGGTAAGTATTACAAACATATCACTGTACAGTACTATATAGCCAATTTTGTTAGTTGGGCATCTAGGGTAACTTTGTTGGACTTAGGAACATGTTCAGAACTTGAATGGAACTTGCTCGTGTGTAGGAGACTTACTGGAATCTGAGGAGCGCATCTTTCCCAGCCAAGGTCATCCGCTAAGGCCTTCTCACGTCCAGTCCAGACAGTGGTTCCCTTCTAATTTACACTTCCCTAGATATCACTTGGCATACATGTTCAGAAGCATTTACAGGGAATGTTAAATATTTACACAAAAGCATAATGAAGAGAGAGCAGCTGGTAGATCTCAGTGGCTTATCTTCAGGGAACGTAGGCGCGGGGAGCCTTAATCTAAACGGAAAGTTTATTAGCAGCACCCCTAAGAACCCTGCTGTTAAAACAGCCCCTGTACAGTTCTGAGAAGGACCCCTTCCCCAGCAGGGAACCTTGACGCCCTGGAGCCCCACGTCCCTTCCCCCCACATCTGACACCACCAGTACTTGAAGGATGCTGTCACATTTTCTCTCTACAGGATCCCCAAGAAACCTGCAGAGATGTGGCCTCATGCTGGGTTTCCACACTTTGCACTCTTAGTTAACTTCTGTGTAGGTGCTAGTTCAGAAGGCAGTGGCCCGGGCCAGCTCCCTCCAGAGACAGAAAGGCTCGCCGACAGCCAGGGCCCGGGCGGCAGACAGAGCATCCTGGGGCCGGGCCGGGCCGCGAGGCACACGGGATCTTAGTTCCCTGACCAGGGATCGAACTCAAGCCCCCTGCCTCAGACGCTTGGGGTTTAAACAACACGAGACCGCCAGGAAAGTCCCTAACGGGCTTCTTTGTAAATTTTATGTGCTTTTTCCAGCGCTGGGTCTCCAGGGCTGCACAAGCTTTTCTCTAGCTGTGGCAAGCGGGGGCTGCTCCCCGATTGTGGCGCGGGCTTCTCACTGTGGCGGCGTCTCTTGCTGCACAGCGCCGGCTCCAGGGCGGTGGGCTCAGTCGTGTCCCGAGGGCTGTGTGGCTCTCGGGCTTAGCTGTCCTGTGGCACGCGGGATCTTCCTGGATCATGGATCAAAAACCCGTGTCTCCTGCGGTGGCAGGAGGGCTTGTCAGCACTGAGCCACCAGAGAAGCCTCCTTCACAGGTTTTGTTTGGAAACCTCTTGTGAATCCAGGAGACTTGGGTCAAGTAAGGGCCAGCTGTGTTCTGAGTGAGTGTCTGGGCTCAGCCAATGCTATTTCCACCAAGGACAAGGCACTCTGCTCATCTCAAAGAGTTTGTTTATTGTTTTGCTCCCAAAGCCTGAACCCTCAGCTGTGCTCAGGAGGAAAAGGTGATGCTTTGTCTAGGACAGAGATACGGTGCTGCTATTTGATTTTCAGATACACATGAAAGATCAGTGTCAGCTGACACTTGGAATGGATGTGTGTCTGAGGTCCAGGAGTGATCTAAGTCCTTGGTTCTCAACACGGTCCACAGACCAGCAGCATCGGCGTTGCCTACGGGCCCTCACCCCGGACCCACTGAGTCGGGGCGCACTTCAGTCAGAGACGTGTATGCAGATTCGTTTGACAGCGAGCCTGCCCTAGGATCATTCAGATAAATAAAAGCAGACCAGCAGGTGAAGTTGAGAAAAGTGGATGGACCAGATGAACTAGGGGTTGGGGGTAGGCGAGAGGTGTGTGTGTGAAGATGTGGGTGGGCAATGGCTGTCTGCCAGGCCTGCTGAGCCGGTCTGAGTGGATTCACCACTGTGCACGCAGCACCTGAGTTACTTGCCTGTAATTCACCACATGATCACTGACCCAGCACGGTGATGGTTTAGAATAAAAGGAAAATTCATGTCTGGGGGTCACTGCTGCCCTCCCCACAGCGCTGTGGGCTCCTGGGGAGGCCGGGCATCTGTTCTCATCACTGTGCTTCTTTCTAGAAAGAGCTGAGGATGGAGCATGATGAAGAAATCACCTTCTGGCGTACTTGGGCTAATTAAAAAAAAAAAAAAAAATCCACCACTATCTGATTAGTTGCAAAACTCACACTTTCAAGAGTTTTCACAATGCCAATTCCATTCTTTTATTTCCTCATACCACAAACATTTTACTGCCTTTTTACAACCTGAATTTACATAAGCAAATTGCAAAGGAAAAACAGGCATTCTTTTATCCTCCAAAATGCATGTATGAAATATAGCACAAACTCTAGTACATAAACAGGCTTAGCTGAAGCTTTATGGCAATTTCTTAAAATAAGCATGACAGTTTAAATATTTATGCCTGTAAAGGTCTGCATAATCTACTATACATAGTTATTTCAGAAGCAGTTAAGACATTTAATTAATTGGAAAAAAACTTCAACAAAAAAGCTCTAACAATTGTGTGCAACTTAAATTATTTACAATTAAACATTTAGGGTCCTGATTCACAAAACTTAGTGCATATCATGATTTTTGCAGGTAAGCTAAGTAGTATGCAGAATATTCCTTGGGTAAAATCTAGAATGAATGGCTTTTAGAAGAATGTTTATAATATGCTTATTGGAAACTAGAGAAAAAGTAACAAAAACTTCAGCAACTGCATTTGATTTGAAAATTTAAGTAGACAGCAGCAATCAGAAAAAAAACAGAGGCCACAAGAGAAGAGCTGGTGGCATTTTTGATATTAGTTTTGTTGTGTACAAGGAGAAAGACGATATTCCCCATTTTTTTCCTTTAAAAAAAAAACACCCCCAATAATCACTACATGTGAACTCAGAGTCTTTCTTCTTCCAGAGTTGTCTTTAACCTTAACACCAAAATTAGCAAATGTGGATAAAAAGTGCCATCAGTTCAGTGGGTTTTGTTTTAGTAGGGAAAGCCTGGGACAGGGTTACCAAAGGATTAGCTATTCAAATTATGAGAGAATTGTCACAGATAAGGCGCCAGAACCCCAAGCTTCCCCTTGAAGCACTTTGGTGGATTCAAAAGTGATTTTACACATATGCCAAAGGAGATGATGCAAAGGAAATGAGCAGGACAACCTGTTCTTAAGGTAAAGTGACAGAATGTTCAGTGAATCAGGTACTAGGTTAATGTCTTAAAAAAAAAAAAAGCCAAAATTTACAGTAAACATTTTAAACTCTGGAATGCAGATATAGTACAGTTACCGGTAAGTTACATTTACAAAACTGCTTCAGACAGTAGTTGCTCCAGAGTCAGAATTGAAAAATGTACAAGCCAGCTCACGAAGAACCTTAGATACAATGTTATTAAAATACATTGTTAATCATAAAAATACTTTACTATGTACATGTACACTGTATAAACTCTAGGTCTGCTTAGACCCACTTCTGCCAGGGCAGCGCGCTATTACCACCCGCTCTTCACACAGCGCACACAGCCGGTCCAGCCGTCAGTTCTCCGGGAACGCGGGGAAGGGCTTCTCGTCCTGCAGGGCGTCTAGGTGGGAGAGTCGGTTTTGCTTCCACTGTACCTTACTTTCCTAAACGCTGGTCCGAGTAACTCTGGGCACTCACATGATTCGTTTGCGATTTGATTACACTTTAGAAGAAGGCTATAGTTCATCTGGTCAGTTATTACACTGTCCTGCTTGTAGTCGGGATGCTTTGCGATAAACTCCCTCATCCATTTGGCAACTGTCATTAATTCTCCTGGGGGAGAAAAATAATTTTTTTTAAAATGACAACTTAGTAGTATTTTTTTATTTGTTGGGTTTGGTTTTTATCTTTAGTAAGTTGACACTTAGCGGCTAGACAACACAACCCTGAAGAAGAATCAAGAGTGGCGTCTGGGCCGAGCCACACGGCCCGGGCTGGGAACAAGACGTTTTTCACCTTGTTTGAAGAACTCCTCCTGGGCAGGGTTTCATGATGCAGGCAGGCAGCGAGAACACATGTGTCCTGCTGCTATGAGACCTGTTAGGTGCCACCCATATGGGGACGCCGCCCGCCCTAAGACAGAGGAGCCAACGCATGTTGACTAGTCCGTGTCCTCCCATCCAGCCAGGCCTGCCAGTGTCAGACTGCCCTGGACAGGGGGCTCTGTGTTCCCCAGAGCGACCTGATCAAAGAGGGACACAGAATAGTGAGTAGAAGCGCTCAGAGAGAAACCCGCAGAGACAGCACTTGGGGGGTTATCCTCTTGGCTCTGGAAACCGTACAGAAGCCTCAAGCAAAATACACAAGCCGCTGTCCTCTTAGTCACAGCTGACGGCTCCCTGGCCACCGGGATCTCAAAGCTGAGAAAGCAGGGGTCCCTGGGCGGCCCTACAGGGAGGCAGGCTAGAGGGCCTGAGTTCAAGCTGTGTACTTAGTTAGTTCACCTTTGAACTGGCTTAGACTCACTATAGAGAGTCCAGGATGCTGCAGAGCGTGCACAGTTGAGCATTAATGACAAACTACCCACATACAATTTTAGGTGATAAAATGAACGCCATCAGGTTATAGATGCAACACTAGTTTATGAACCAGTAAGAGAAAATGTACTGCTGATTCGAAGGCGACTGTCAAAGACAACAAGGTGTATGTAACTGCAGAGACGGTACTACCTGGAAAAGAGCATTGATTTAGGATGGTGCAGGCTTTAATAAAAGACCACTTTAAAAACTGAGTATTTTAAGACTGTGAGGTTCTGCCTATGTTAACGAGATTTTTTGGTTTTAAAAGAAAGAAAAGCAAAGGATGCCATACCAGACGCTCTCTTCTTGATCAGCTTCAAGTAGTTCAGAATGCTGCACCTGGTGTCCACATCCACCTCCATGTTCTCCAGGTAGGAGTTCAGGATGGGGATCAGCCCGGGGAACACAGCTTCCTGTGAGGAGCAGGGCGCGGTCAGGCAGGGGCGCTCGGCAGGGGGGATCTGGGCAGGCAGTTGGGGCACAGGCCAAAGCGGGCCCTACCTTGCCATTGATGATGGTGTCAATGGTCATGAGCATGTATTCCTCGGCTGCTGGCTCTGCGCTGCCTGCGGCCTTGCCACAGCCGTCCACCACAGCGTTGCCACCTGCTGGAGGGGCGCAGGGCATGTTAGCAACCAGTGTGGCCTCCGGGGACCCCCAGAAATGCAAGAAAAGGCAGTACCTTTGCAAATGTCTTTTCTGAAATAAAACAGTCCCTGCAGGACGGCATCTCGCTTCTGGGCGACCTTCATGTTCTCATCAACCTAAGGAGGAAAACCATCGTGGCCACGTCAGAATGGTCCCGAATCGGGGACGCTCCTGCTCCCACAGGGGTGGGGCCGCGGACCCGCCTGTGATGAACCTTCCCACCCCTCAGCGCTGGCTGCGGCCAGAGAGGCTGCACAGTCACGTGGGGTCCTGTCCCTCAACCCCAGCCTGGGACGCGCTTTTCCATAACAGGGCAACTTGAAGAGAGGCGCGCCTTAGAAATCCACGTGAAACTTACACGTGTGGAGGCTGCCTGCGAAAGCCTGGGGGGAATGTACAGTGCTGGGGAGGCACCGGGTGGTCCCAGCTCACAGCTGGAGGGAAGCGCAGAGGCCCTGCTGCCTTGGGGGTGGGGGGCCCTCTGTCCTCCCTGCCCCCAGGGCTTTGCTGCTTCACCCCACCACCTGGCAGTAGGCAGGCCGCCAACGCTGCCTGCCCGCCTGGGGCTCTGCCCACTCCCTCGGGAGCCCCAGCTCCCTCTTCGTGAATTCTTCATTTATTTCAATCAATATAATGAAATCGTAGGGGACACTCCAATATACAAAATGGACACAAGTCAGAGGTCACACTGGAAGGGACAGCTGGGACAAAGTCTTGGATCCCTCAGCTTTGCCCTTCACACCCATTAATTCCTACAGTTATTTATTTTTTTTTTTAAGGTACATATGACCTTCAGATTAATATAGATAGTTCTAGAAACATGTTCAAATAATAATCTTCATACGTCTGGCTTCAATCCTAGTCAACACTTGTATTTTTCTTAGTCTTGACAAAAAGTCACAAAGATCAACAGCTGTAATTTCTGCTTTTAGAAATTCCTTTTTCAGTCTATTTTTACTACTGCTCTTTAGATTCTTAATTTGACTACTTAGGTTTATTTTTAATCTTTCTGTTAAAGCATTTAAAGCTACGGTTTTTTCCTTGAGCCCAGCTTTGCCAGCATCATTTTCCTAACCCTGCCCCCAGGGCTTTGCTGCCTCACCCCACCACCTGGCAGTAGGCAGGCCGCCAACGCTGCCTGCCCGCCTGGGCCTCTGCCCACTCCCTCGGGGGCCCCAGCTCCCTCTTCGTGAATTCTTCATTTATTTCAATCAACATAATGAAATCGTAGGGGACACTCCAATATACAAAATGGACACAAGTCAGAGGTCACACTGGAAGGGACGGCTGGGACAAAGTCTTGGATCCCTCAGCTTTGCCCTTCACACCCATTAATTCCTACAGTTATTTATTTTTTTTAAGGTACATATGACCTTCAGATTAATATAGATAGTTCTAGGAACATGTTCAAATAATAATCTTCATACGTCTGGCTTCAATCCTAGTCAACACTTGTATTTTTCTTAGTCTTGACAAAAAGTCACAAAGATCAACAGCTGTAATTTCTGCTTTTAGAAATTCCTTTTTCAGTCTATTTTTACTACTGCTCTTTAGATTCTTAATTTGACTACTTAGGTTTATTTTTAATCTTTCTGTTAAAGCATTTAAAGCTACGGTTTTTTCCTTGAGCCCAGCTTTGCCAGCATCATTTTCCTATACAACCTACAGTTCTAATTTTGATTTAATGTAGAACCTATTAGGAAAACAACTTAAAATTTCCAACAGTTAAATTTTTCCTGAACATTTTCTTGATGAGTTTTGGTGGAAACGTGACTTACTGTATTTTCCTTGATTAACTTTTGATATTCTTCCTCAGGGCATTCAAAAGGCGTGTGCGGTATGAGATCTGTGGTACAAATGACACAGCCAAGCTTGTGGAGCGTGTCGTTTACGTCCTCTCTGGCTTTTCTCTTCCTCTGAGTGTGTGACCTGTCAGTTACTAGGTAACAGGACAACTTCTCTAGTAAGTGGTCTACTCCACCGTCCTGACATGGCCTCGGGACAGCCCTCGATCCCCTCTGCACCTGCACACCGAGGCGCAGAGGACAAGCGGTCCAGGTGAAAACGCTGCCAGGCGCTGCAAGTGACTGCGTGCTCACCCGGACCAGCATCTTGCCCTCTGTGCTTCGGTGCCCTTAAAGTCGTTTATGCTCCTGAGAAGCTATGCTTTCTGGTTAGAAAAAACAAGAATCGTGGCTCTAATGATCTTGGATGAACAAGTGGACAAACTTGCTTTCTGTATCTCATTTAAGACTTTCTCACATTTCTCTGTTACAACTTTGCCATTCCTGTATTTTTTTTAAAAGGTCATTATGGAGCACTTTACTGTCAACATCTGTCCTTGTTTTAGGTGTATCTTATGCAAATTACACTGCTATTTTAGATCACTGCTTTCAGTATTTGAATAGGAGAATATAGTCTATTCAAATTTGTCTTCATCTTATTTTCACCATCGTATGCTCTCTTGGGCATACTGTCTTACCATGCCCATGGCCCGAGACCTACTTCTGTGGCACCGGAAGTTTTCTTTGTCCTTTCCCCACCCCCTTTAGCTAGGAGATTAGAGGCGACAAATCCTATTTCTAACCATTAAGTGTTTCTTCTTACTTTCAGACAGTTCAGTCGCTCAGTCGTGTCCGACTCTTTGAGACCCCATGAACTGCAGCATGCCAGGCTTCCCTGTCCACCACCAATTCCTGGAGTTTACTCAAACTCATGTCCATTGAGTTGGTGATGCCATCCAACCATCTCATCCTCTGTCGTCCCCTTCTCCTCCTGCCTTCAATCTTTCCCAGCATCAGGGTCTTTTCCAATGAGTCAGCTCTTTGCATCAGGTGGCCAAAGTATTGGAGTTTCAACTTCAGCATCAGTCCTTCCAATGAATATTCAGGCCTAATTTCCTTTAGGATGGACTGGTTGGATCTCCTTGCAGTCCAAGGGACTCTCAAGAGTCTTCTCCAACACCACAGTTCAAAAGCATCAATTCTTCGGTGCTCAGCTTTCTTCACAGTCCAACTCTCACATCCATACATGACCACTGGAAAAACCATAGCCTTGACTAGATGGACAAGTAGTTTTGAAATTCTTTCTCCAGATGTCAGCCATCAAGAAGCATCTACTATTCCCCTCCTTCCACTGACCCCTTGCTAGATAAGATTTCTGGCTGACTCTGAGCCCTAACTTAATCTTTTTTGTTATAATCACTCGGAATTTAAAGACTAGCTCGGATGCCAGAGATGTTCACGGTTCTAGTTCTTTACCTTCAGGATTCTGGAGACTTCTCTCCATCTCTTCCAGCGTTTAATGTTGTAGATGAGAAATGAGACCAACTGATTTTTCTTCTTTTTGGCAGAAAGCTAAGTAGCCTAATTTCCTCTCCTTTCTGGACAACTGATCTTTTCTTTGAGATTCTTTCTAGATTTCGGTTCTTCTTTATCTATTTCTGTCTTATCCTTAATGGATTCTTACTCGGGGAAAATTATATTCATTTATTGTCTCGCACACATCTTTTGTGTAGACCATTCTCTTCTTCTAATTATTAGACAAACGCTGAACTTTTCAAAGAATTTCTCTCTTGCTTTTCCCATGATTTCCATTTCTCTGCCGTCCTACAGGGATGAATCTCAGTTTGGTTCCCGAAATCAGTGACTTCAACCACACCCGCTTACTGGGGAGCATACTGACTTTTAAAAGTGTGGCGACCACGTCCTTTGTTTCTGAGAACTCCTCTGATCTCCAAATGTTCTTTGATCCACGGGGCTTGTTTATTTAAGATGCAACTCTTCTCTAGGATTTCTTCAGGGGCATTAGTGAGAATTTCTTTAAAAATTCTTTCCAGTTTCCAAATTAACCGCGTTCCACTGAGGATAATACACCCTGGGGGCCCATGGGCTCTTCTCTTTAAGGGTATTAAAAGTTTTCACGTTTCTCCTGCCTTTCAGGTATCTATACCTGACCCTGGAACAACGCACGTCCCCCTAGATGAAGGTGCTCTCCAGCAGTAAACATCACAGCACTCCACGATCTGAAGGTTGAATTCTCGGACACGGAGGAACTGACTGTTAGTTACATGTAATTTTCTGACTGTGTGAGGTCAGAGTCCATAATGCCTGTGTTGTCCAAGGGTCAAGTATATTTACATTCATAAGCAAAGGCTTAATTAGACAGGCAGCTCTCGTGGACCCATCACACGGTCTGGTCTCCCCAGGGGGTGCCCCACGCAGCTAACAGGGGTCCGCAGAGTCCTGCCGGTCACCCTGGGCCTGGGTGCAGTGGGCAGGCAGGGTCAGCCTGACCTCCAGACTTCTTCAGGATGCATGCGTGCACCGGCTGGAGTGGCCCCCACGGAGGAAGGGGGAGCGGCGTGTGGGGGCAGGCGCTGGTCCTCCTCCACGCTCGCTGGGACAAGCAGTGTGCCCCGCTGTCTACGCTCTGGCCCTGAGCCCCACAGACCCCACTCTGCCCGCAGCTGCTCCTGGCCCCGCTCCGTGCCCGGTCCTGCAGCCAGGAGCCCAAGGCCTCCATGGTCACTTGACTATGGCCCCAGGGCCTGTGGCGTTGCAGCCGCAGAGCCTGGAGCTGTTTCAAGGCCCTGAACAGCTTCCAGAAAGCTCGTCTTTGTCTTAGTTGGGCTGGGGCGGATTGAGGTCTGTTTTTCCGATGGTGCCCTGCCATCCTCATTCTCCAGAAACCTCCCCAGCTCAGCTCCTCTGAGACGCCCCCTCCCTGCACTGAGCAAGGTCGTGACCGGCCTGGGAGCTGACAGGATTAAACACACTGGGGGCACCCCCTCCCACCATCTTAAATCCAAAGTCTAGACATTAGTGGTTATTCAAATGTAACCCTAAATGTCCTTCAAATGGGCCGAGTAAGGAGCTACCATCAGCACTTTTTTTCAGGAGTCTCCACCAAACGGTCCCCAAATCTATAGTATAAACTTTGGTTTGAAAGTAAAAAAAACAAGGTGGAAGGGGAACACTCTTTCTAAGGAGGAACAGGTCTAAGTGAGGTCAGAGTTGAAACAAGTATTACACATAAAGGAGCATCAGATGATAATCCAGATACCCACAGCCAGCCCTAAGCTGAAAACCATCCTTACCTTCGACAGCGGGATGAGAAAGTCCAGTTTGTAGGACAGGATGACCCTGGTGAGCAGCACCACAAACACCACGTATGCGGAGTTCTCGAAGTCTGTCAGCTGAACCTGGACGTGGGGCCAAGATGTCAGGGACCCACTGTGCCAGCGGCTCCTCCTGAGGGGCCCCCGCGGGTCACAGCGTTCCCATCACCTCCTAACCCTCACCCGGGGCTGGAAGGCTCTGCCCACAGTCTACTTCCGGAAAGCAGTCCTCCCGAGCCACTGGGCTCGCATGTGACATGCACACACACGCGATCTGTGCTGCTGCCTGGGTAACCCAAGACTCTGGGGAGGGTACAGGTGGGTGGGTGGCGGTCAGTTGAACCTATTCAACTGAGTTGGTTCCTGCCCACAGCCCACGTACCTCCATGGGCCGGAATTCCACTCTCCACCCAATGTCAGAATTTGGAGGAGGAGGCTTGAATCGCATTGTCTGCCAATTTGTGGACTGAATATTCTGTAATCAAAAAGCAGAGAATAAAACCAATTTTCCACATATCCGGGAAGATCCTAAGGTGATTTCATCCTTAACATGTGAAGCAGACTATTTACTGTGTATACCCTTCAATTTACAAAGGAAACTAAACAGCGAGCATTTAACAGAAGTGAGGTGACACATCAGTGACGCTGAAAGTAGCAGGCATGTTATTTTTAAAGCATTCGCTGCAGGTACCTCAAAGTGGTCGGACTCGTTGGCATCATCCAGGTGGATTTTCTCTTCAAACAGAGTCAGCGGGTCTCTGATGAAGAGGTGCGCCACGTGCTGGGCCAGCAGGTGGTCGAGGCCTGCGGAGAGGTCACACCAGGCTCACTCCAGAGCCGCTCTCCACGCCCCGGGGACGGCAGACAGCTCGGGGGGTTGAAGAAAGGCAGCTAGGAGCTTAGGAGACGCTGGGTTGTGCAGGATTCTTGTGTCGCCCCGAGTTTATCCTGCAGACCCGAGGGGAGTGTCGGAGTTGTGTTCACCCCTTAAACGATGCCCGTGGGGATCTCAGGGACACACCTCCAAAGTCAGTTCTTTTTGCTACAAGTTAAGCTCTCACAAGTATTTGGGACTTGAAACTTTAGGGCAAACAGCCTCATAAGAAAAGTTCAGAGACCTCACATTAAAAACAGAAGCCAGATGGGAGTCAGCAAAGGAGTTTAAGAGAGTGTTGAAGAACTAAAGGCTTACAGTCAAATCTAGACAAGGGGAATGGAGGCTTACCTTCCTGCAACAGCTGTTCGTAGATTTCTTTGTCTTTTGTCAGGTCAATGTCATTGTATTTCTCACCGCACTCAGATAAGTAACTGTCTATCGAATCGTATCGGGACTTACTGATCCTATAGTGGTTTTTCTTCAGTGGCTAAAATTGAAAAAATGCAAATGAATGCCATATAAAGTGATGTGGAAATAAACTAATATCCCAAGTAATTATATTAGAAGCTTATATACTTTACAAACAATTACCTAAAAGTGTCCAACCTGAACATGAGATCCTGAAAAATAGCTATTAACCCTGAAAAGTATTAGAATTAGAAAAAAAAAAAAAATTTGGAGACAATTTAATCTGTTCTCAGATCTGAGTTAAATATATATATTCCTTTTTTTTTTTTTTACAAGTGGATCACCATTATTATTAAGACTAGAAAATGCCCATGTTGAGAGCAAAAATATAAACCCACAGTGTATTCTTGCCTGGAAAACCCCAGGCACAGAGGAGCCTAGTGGGCTATAGTCCATGGGGCTGCAGAGAGCCAGACATGACTGAGCCACTAACACTTTCATAATGTAAACCAAAAAATTTGGTTTAAACCATTAAAATTTCTGCTCTAAAGCTTATTTCGACTCAGAAAGCATGGTCAACAATTTATGAACAATTACATAGAGACCAGAGCAGCAGCGGCGCAGCCCTAGTCAGGACCATGAGACTCGCCTGTGAGGACCCTCTACTAACACGCACGTCTGCGCCTCAGCTCTGGGCTTTCTCTGCTCACTGGGTCTGTGGGTGGGCAGGGCTGAGTGAGTATTTTTAAAAAGCTCTACAGGTGGTTCTGATGCACACTCTTGGTTGGAGAGATGCAGGGTCAGAGTTCAACATGCAAACAAGAGGCACAAACCTACCCTTCTTAGGCAAAACTCACCCTTTGTAAGGGGCCAAGGACTCTGACAACAGATTACGCTTTCCCCAGCAGAGAAAGCGCCATAGACAAAGCACTCAGGTAGCGCCAAAAAGCTTTATGGTAAAAACAGCCGTCAGCACTGACTTCCAAAATAAAGAAAAACTGTTCTACCAATTTTAGAGGGCAAACAGACACAGATCTCAACAAATGATGGAGATTAACTTGGCACCGCCCTCCCCCCTCCAACCAAACCACATTTCCCACATTCTCACCCCAAACACACCATAAAGCCACAGACAGGCTGATAAGCTGTCAGCTTCTTCCATGTGTGACTAACCCACTCAGGATAAAATCAGTTTAAAGGAGACTTCAACACTGTGAGTGGTGACAAGACCCCCACTTCACCTGCTGGATTCAAAAGGCTAATAAGGAAAAGCGTTCCCACCTCCAGTCCTCTCTCCTCCCGAGTTCTATCATCTACAGATGCAGAAATCACGCCCCAGCGACAATCAATGTCTGACACATAGCCTCGGTAAAAAGGCGACGCAGCGCTCAAAGCCATCTAGGAACAAACAGAAGTCAGCATCTGCAAGGTCAAAGTGTCACCAACACGCTGAAGAAGGCTCCGTGCAGTTACCCCTGGTCTAGAAGCACCAGCTTACGCCACCCCTGCGGGCTCTAGCACATGTACTGCGCCTGCCTGCTCCTGGGGAAGGACAGTGGGAGTGACTCCAGCCCTGGCCTCCGCTTCCTTGAATCATCGTCTCTAGACGGTGAGGACAGGATGAGAGAAGGAAGACAGCTACGCTTGAACTTGACGTTTAACACATAAATGCCTCGCTAGCTAAAGCACTGCTAAACTCTTCAGCTTAGACGCTTACCCATGAGCTCCACATCTGCATACTAGTTGTGTTAGTTCAGTTCTAAATGAAGTCTTAACTGGACTTAAATAGCACACGGTCAGCAAATTTTGCACATGCAGTCTTCATCTGATACAAAAGAGTAGTTAAAATTAGGTGTGATTTCTACTTACAACAATTGGGCAGATGGTAGCCAACTGATCATAAAGGTATCTGGCCTCAGATATGCTGCAGGCTTGGAATGTTACCTGTTTAAGAATCAGATTATTAAACAATAATACAAAACCACCACCATCCTCCCCAAGGAGCCAGTCCGGAGAAGGAAGGTTGATGCTCATGGCATGTGAGGTCATTCCACTGATCCCAACACTGAAGCCAGTTTTAAAAGCTGTCTGGGATGAACTTGTCTAGAATATGGCTTTAATCATGTTTGCATGGGATATAAATAACCATGTTCTAATGTTAAGTATGCTACAATTTTAAAGCCATACACTGTTAAGTTCTAGAGTTTAATGGCTCTCTTCAGAAATATTTGCAATTAAGATAGTTAAGCAGATATGCAGTCAAAAGTCAAAAAGTCTCCTTTTTTATGCAGTGTGCCTAGCTGGAAGGAAACTCATGACCTAGGTTTGTTTGGCAGACACGCTTTATACCACTTACATCAGTGAGTCGGGAAAAACGGGGGGGAATGAGATCCTCGGCCATGGTTACTTAAACACACTTAGCATGGATACATCTGACTCTCACATTCAATTCTGATTATACATAGCTGTAAAAATGAATGCATCTGAGATCCAGGTGCAGGCAGGCGTGCCTCTGTGTGAAGCTGCCTGAGATGGTGGGACACAGGGTCACCAGCTGTGTGTGCAGAGCAGGGCCACCTCCCGTGGGGCCAGGCTTCACGGTGCTCCAGCCAGCCAAGTCATCGGAACTGGACACAATCTCCTTAGATAACAGTGAGGCTCCCCTTTTCACCGGAGATTTTCAGTTTGAAACATCTAGTTTTGTGCCACTCCTACTTCTAACGTTTTATTTTTTAATATTTTTATTTACTTATTTTTGGCTGCTCTGGGCCTCTGCTGCTGTGCATGGGCTTCTCACGGCAGCGGCTTCTCATGTTGCAGGGCACAGGCTCGAGGCGCACAGGCTCAGCTGCCCTGAGGCATGTGGGATCTTCCCGGACTAGGATCGAACTTGTGTCCCCCTGCGCTGGCAGGCGAATTCTTAACCTGGTCTTTAACCTTAAGGTGGTCTTTTCCTGGACCACCAGGAAGGTCCCGACATGATTGTAAACAAACTGAAGACTGAAACCAGTACTGCTGTTACTAAAAACAACAAAAGAGTATGAGCTCAGTCACACTTAGAAAGGGCCGTAATATAAACTCTTCTTTTATGATGAGAAAACTGAGGCCAGAAGAAGGGAAAGGAGTTAGCCAAGTGCCCGAGAGATGACAGCTGAAGCCTGGATGGGAGCTCGCGGGCAGCCGGAGGGATCCCCCACAGATCTCCTATGGGATGGGGAAGCATCGCTGCCACAGGCACCAGCAATCAGATTAGACCCAGGGGCAGTTTTAATCACGTCATTAAAAGAGAGGCTCTTCCATGTCCTGTGAAACAGCCAGGGGCAAGGCAAACCAGGGCTGTTAAATATTTATTCTTTTTATACCACTATACAGCCTTACAGGAAGATAGGAGTTTAAAGTCCAAACAATCCTTCTCTTGGACCATAAACTCACTGGGGTGCATCCAGGGTTTATTTTCAGAAACTAAGATCTGAGCAGTGTTTACAATCTCAAAGCTAACCCATCACTAGATGGCAGCAAAAATTAGGCACAGAAAGAGCTGAGACAGTGACCCTGGAACATTCCACATGTTAAGCAGCTGTGTTTTTGCAGTGAACTAAAGATTTTGCAAATTCTGTTCAGAGATACCTTCCAATGAATTTACCAACATAACCTCAGTGGGTTTCAGAAAGATGTCACTAGTTACAATAATATTTCAACCGGAGGAAAATTTTAAAAACCAAACGCGCATCTCAAGAAAAGAAGGTAATGAACAGAAATGGGGGGCAGCTCGCCTCTCTGGGTCTTTGCACGGTACCTGCAGGCAGCAGTTGCCCATCCCGAAGCCCATGGCGTCCATGTAAATGTGGTCGGGCTTAGCGGCCTTCGCGGCCTCCTCGTCCTCAGGAAAAGTCTCTATAAATGGAGCTGGGGTGTTCTTGTCCTTAAAGACTGCAGTGATAAAACCAGAGAGAAAGAGGAGAGCAGGGCATGAGTGAGAGTCGGCATCCGCAGCGGGCAGGGCCGCCCCCTCCCCGCCCGCGGACTCACTGGGCACGTTGATGACCACTTTCTCGCCCCTCCGGTGCCGGATGTTCCTGGTGAGCGTGCTGAAACAGACGACAAACGTCCTGAGCGGGCCGCCCAAAAACCCTCATGCAGAAGAATTTGATAATACAGGCTACACGGGCCGGCTCCTCCCTCAGACAAGTCCCCCAAGGCAGCCCTACAGAAAAATCACATGCGCCGAGACGGAGGGATTTCCTGCAGCCTCGCCTGTGGGCTCCTGCTTGAGAACGTCACCCTCTCTCCTGTCCAAGCCCCCATCCCTGACTCTGTGTGACTCACCAAACCGAGCTCAAGTGTTCAAGGTCTGCCGTGGTCTGGCCTCACGCTATGTTTCTAACATTTTCCATGTTAAGTCCAAAACCTGAGCCGAGCTGAGGTCCTCACATTCCCTGCGCCTCACGGGACCCCGGTACCTCATCACTTCCCCCATCCAACCTGCGCCTTAACACCATCTAATCACCCACCTGGTCTGATCCAGAAGCCCCCAGGCACGCTATGGCTGTGAGCACTGAACACGTGGCCAGTCCTTAAAAAAAGTGCTCTGAGAGCAAACTCACAGCAGATTTTGAAGACTTGGTTTAGAAATAAAGTAAAACTTACTAGTAATTTACAAATACTGATTGCAAGTTGGATATGTGTGTGTCATTAGTCACTCAACTGTGTCCAACTCTGCGACCCCACAGACTGTAACCCGCCAGGCTCCTCTGTCCATGGGATTCTCCAGGCAAGAAGATGGAGTGGGTAGCCATGCCCTTCTCCAGGGGACCTTCCGGACCAGAGTCAAGCCTAGGTCTCCAGCCTTACAGGCAGAGTCCTTACCCTGTGAGCCACCAGGGAAGCCCTCGAGTTGGATATAGCTATAAATGTAGTTTATTTTTTATTACTTTTTTAACGTGGCTACTAAATTACTATTAAAATGACATGTGTGGCTCGCATTATGGTTTCACCAGGCAGGGCTGCTGTCCGCACCGCGTAACGCCTCCGCTCTCAGTCAGAAGCACCCTCCTCTGTAGGGCATTGCCACCTTGGGACATAACCTTCCTTTCCTTGCAGCTGACCATCTCCATGTTCTCCCTGGCACACTCTAGCCCTAACACTGGGAACTAAGCTCCTGTGTCCTCCTCTTCCCCAAAGACTCCGCGCGTAGCACGTGTGCAGACGTGTTACAGGAATGAACCCTGAGCTGCCACAGGTCCCTAACTCTAGGTCAGGAGCCCGGGTTCAGAACTAAAGTGAGACTCAAAGGGACAAAGCTGAGACCAGACCGGTGCGGGCCTAAAGCAACCTGAAACCCTGGGGTTAGAGCTACAGAGCAGAAGGTGGCACGTGCCTATTACACACACAGGCGTTGGACGCATTTTACCTTATAGTCAAGGGACACGAGCAGGGTGAGGAGATCACAGACACTGGAGGTAAAAGATAAAAATAACGACAAGAGAGCTTCTCCAAACAGGTGTTAACAGACCTGGGATTGAAATGAATTTGCAGCTAAGTGAACAACTTTAGGATGACTCGGAAAACGGGCAGATCCAGCCTGGAAACAAGCGGCAGGGGCCGTGCAGCTGCGGGGGACGGAGGGTGTGAACCGGTGTGTCTGCTGGCTTCTGTGGAGCTCGGGAAGCGCGCGGGAGGGTCCGGGGGGCCCCGCACCCCAGGGCAGGGCCGGTGCTGAGCCTCAGGCACTCACCTGAAGCGCGGGTGCTTGTTGATCGCTTCATCGGGGAAGAAGAGGGACTTGGAAGCGCCTCCTTCCACCGGGCTGGGTTTGAACTCAGGCAGCGTGAACCCAGGGCAGCCTAATCTACAACAAATTGAAGAACTAAAGAGATAGAATGTGTCTCCAAGGATTAACAACTCGCAAGTGCAATGTTGCCTTTTTCAGGGGGGTCCATTGTTCTACCAACCCTGGGCCCCTTGCAACCAGCCCGTTGAAACCTGTCTTGCTCACCAAGCTCTTCTCTTGTGATTGCAGCCTGGGGCTGATTTTATCAGAAGCCTCTGTCCACCCAGGGTCTGCAGGGCACAAGTCACAGGGCCTCAGCTATTTCCCCCGGGAGCTTCTGTCTTGAGGCATGCTCCTGTACCTATGTCAGCCCTGCACACCCTCACTTCCGGGCAGAGTGGATGCCCTGGGAAGGGCCTCCTGTTTCCTGCCTCTGCCCAGCACCTCCCGAACCCCTCCGGATCAGGCAGGTCCCCCACGGGTGACCCCGTTTGCCCCCAGGTTTCCCCCTGAAGGCTGAAATCCAACCCTATTATCTCACTTGACCTAAAGAAGTGCTTTAATTCCAACACAGAAACAAAGGTCCACGTTCTCCCCTAAATGTAAAGCTCAAATTTCACATCATGGGCAGTGACACCACCAGCTCTCCCAAGTTTAAGGTCATTGCTGAGTGTGCCGGGGGGGGGGGGGGATGGGGACCCACGGAGCAGGGCCAGCACAGCAATAGCAGCTGGGGGTGTGCAGGGCCAGGGTGGGGAACTTCTGGCCTGAGCGCCAAACCTAGCTGGTGCCTTCTTTATTTTCAGCCTCATCTTTAATAACAACCGGTTGCCCACAACCACCTTGTGAAGAGCAGTGAAGCTGCCCATCATATCTGGAACAGCCCCAGATGTGATGGGGTCTTGGGAGGGTTCCTGCAGGAGCCTGCGTTATCCACCACGAGCCTGAAGCCTTAGGAGAAGCCCTCACAGAGAGTGACAGACTGAGACCTGGGGATTCTCTGCTGGCCAGGATCGGGCCGGAGCAGGGAGGTGAGTGCCAGGGCGCTGGGTGGGAAGTGGGCGGCCGGGGCTCAGACCTGCACGCCCAGCAGGGCTTCCCTCTAGACGACCATCCCACCATCCGACACGCCTCCAGGAGTGGGGACGCCCTCCACCTGCCCTGCCGGGCGAGCACCAGCAGGCAGAGGACCTGGACTTCTGGTCGCGTCAGTCTGAGTAACTGATGTGTAAATAGTCATATGACCACTGGGTCACAGGGCCACACTATAGTTGCACCCGTTTATGAACAGAGAATCCCTCTGTTTACGCTGAAAAAACCACAGTCTTCTCTCTTGATCCCCAAACAAAATCTTCATCGTTTAACTGTGGATTTAAGGTGAGGCTTTTACAAACCAATAATTATTACTCTTGTTTTGCTTACAAATCCAAAAATACCCTCCCATCATAAAAGATAAAACTTTAAAAAAAAAAATTAGAGTTTTAGAATAAAACGTATCCCCTTGCTCAACTTTTCTCCTTTCATAATGTCAGAAAAAGATATTCTCTAAAATATTTGATGAGCTGCTTCAATAAGGCCTCGATTGTTTTGATGTGATCATGGAGATTTTAAAAAAGAAAATTCCCTTTAAGTGTCCTAAGACCCACGGTGTGACTCTGAATGCCTGTGTTCACAGTGGACATTTATCAGGAAAAGAAAAAAAGGTATAAAAATAGTTCCGCGTGTTTCAGGCTTTGGATACCAATTCTCACAGAGCTTCTGAACTTTGGGGAGGTAAGCATACTTTGCCACAACCTGAGAGATCTCTCGCAGAGATAACCAGATTTATGATTTGGTAGAACTGCATTCTTGCATGCAGGCCCTACACAAAACCGTGTGACATTTATGTACCTCATTCTAAACCAAGGACTGAATCCCACTGACTTTATACTCACTCTTGTGAACTTTTAGAAATCCTAACTTGTTTCAGCGTGATCTGAACACGACCCGCTGGCTCCCGTGTTCTTCATGTGTGTCGCCCATCCCAGGAGCACTGAGGCTGACCCCCGATCTGATCTGGGGGGCAATGCACGTCCTTCCTTATACAGTGCTCCCTCCTGTTGGCCTGGGGAGTGTGTGGCCCTCGGGTCCTCCCGCAGTCCCCCTGCCCCCACCCCCCCCAAGGCTAGCATGGGACTTGGCCTGCGGCTCTGACGTTAGATGCTATCAGATGCAGCGAGACGCGGATACACGGCCCACATTGTGAGAGCTGTGGGTCAAGCGCTAGGTTGTGGTCTGCTCTCCGGACGCCGGCTGTGCGTGTTGACGCAGGCACTAACCTGGGAAAGGATGTGATCGTGCAGAGGGCCTGGTTTTCCCGCAGGAGGGATGTGGCCTCTTTGCGCCGTTTCCTCATGTTGTCCTCAACCGTGTTGAACTCAGACATTGTCCCGCCATACGGCTGCCCCGGTGTCCCCTCGATCATGTAGCTCCCATATTCTGGTCTCCAAAGGGTCGGATGGCTGTGGAGGAGACAAGGTTCCGGGTCCCTCTCATTCTTCTGCGGCAGTCTGCTCCCTTTTGAGTTTTGAAAAAGCGGCTTCCAAAAATTTAGAAACCACTGGATATACAAGAAGCCAAGAATGCTTTATGGCTCCCAGAGCCTGTGAACCTTCCGTAGCTCTTTAACTGTTTAAGGGCTACAAGTGCTGGGTCCAAAATATTTATAAATAACTGAGCTGCACGCAGGGCATGCGCTGTCCAAGACAAACAAGCCCGTCCACTCTGCAGGGAAGGGTGTGAGGGCTGAAGGCTCCTTCAGTTTAACGCTGGGCTCCAAACGCAAACCCAGCCTCCCAAAATTTAGTGGGCAGAGAAATGAACATGCCCCCTTTACCTCTGTCTACTGAAATAAAGAAATATTAAAAAAAAAACATCTTTCCAGCCAAACAAAATGCATATGCAAGTTTTCTCTGGCACCGTGGTTTGTGATCTTGGGAACATGTCACCAATTTTTTTTTTTTTAATATTTAAATAGTAAACAGACTTTATGTGGCATTTACTCTTCCAAGCACTCACTAATGTATTTAGAGTGCCAGCACCCTAAGAGGCACCCCTGATTTACAGAAGAGGAAACTGAGGCACAGAGAAGCTAAGCCCTTCACCTAAGGTGCTCAGCTATTAAGTAGAGGGAGCAGGATTTGAACCCAGGCAACAGGGAACCAGAGCCTGCGCCCTAAACCGCTGGGATCCCGTCTCCTGTACAAGGAGGAAAGAGGTCACTCCAGTGGTCCTAACAATTTCAGAAACTCGAAAACAAGCCCCCAGTCCATCAGCTTACTTTGGGTTCGTCCTTTCCCCTTTTTCTTGCAGAGTTTCAAGAAGTTCCTCTCCAGACAGGACCAATTGGGCTTTTTTCTTTTCATGATCGAAAGACACCAACATGTACTCCACCTATTGAGAATAAAGGAGAGCAAAATGAACATTCCTCCATCCAGATCTGTGCTAGATGCGACCTTCAGGAGAGAGAGAGAAGCAGGGAGGTTGGGAAGGGTCACAGGGGGCCGGCTCTTGTGTGACGTGAAAGAGAGAGCAGCCAACAGTGGTCTGGGAGGAGGACCCAAGCTTGCACTCGAGTCCGTCTTCTCCTGTTTTACGTAGTCCCTCATAGAAAGGTCAACACGCCCACTCTGACAAACTACTTCGAGAGAGAAGTTTTGAAAATAAGATTTTGTAAATCGTGGCTCCAAGAAGCAGTTGCATTTTACAATGTATTTCCTCAGTGGACTTACTATAAATTTATGAAAGGGGTTACCTGGGCATACTCATCAAGGTAGATGACACTTCTTCACTGGTAGGTTACTTAACCATCCCACTATAAGCCCTGCTAGTGGACAGGTAAATCATAATCAAACACATCGATATGGAAGTGTTAGCGTAAGAGTTTTGGCAATTTCTTTTTTAAAAAATAGACATTTCTTCATTACTTTTATTTTTTATTATTTATTTGGCTGCACTGGGTCTTAGTTGTGGCAGGCGGGATCTTTAGTTGCAGCATGCAGAGGTTTAGTTGGGGCCCATGGGCTCTAGTTCCCCGACCAGGGATTGAGCCCTGGCCCCCTGCTTTGGGAGCGTGGAGTCTTTGCCACTGGACTGCGAGGGAAGACACTTGGCAATTTTGTTTTGGTTTTTCCAGAGTAAATTAAGGCCACTTCCCCACTCTGAAGTGACACAGAATTTACAAGGGGCATTAGTGCATTTGTAACAATACCTGGTGGAATTCTGATAAAAATCAAGAGTGAAATACCAAAGTAAGACTTTTCTGGGCTGAGTATAAATAGAACCTGCTTTTGTTTTCCCTGAAATTGTGTGCTGTAAGTCATGAGAGCTGGTATTAATTGTGAAGGTTGTGAACCACTCTTTCTGGTTAAAACTAGACACATGTCGTTCATAAGTAAGTGAAAAGATTGGAGCTGGATGGTTCAGGGGAACACGTGAGAGCGCCCTTTGCACAAGGTCCCAGACTTGTGCCTCGAGGCAGCCGGCTCTCCAGAGTTACCGCATCGGGCTTATCATAAAAGAGGCATGCAACAATGCACCCATTATTGGCCTTATCCTCCTGACATTCCGCATGTAAATCAAGATCCCAGCCTTAAAAACAAACCAAAGTCGGGAAGCCCAGCAGCAGGCCTGGGGCGGGGGTGGGGCTGGTCTGCTCCCCTTGGGGGGTGGGGGGGCTCTGGCCTGTGCCTAATTCACAGGGACCTGCTGCCCCATCTCCAGACAGGACCAATTGGGCTTTTTTCTTTTCATGATCGAAAGACACCAACATGTACTCCACCTATTGAGAATAAAGGAGAGCAAAATGAACGTTCCTCCATCCAGATCTGTGCTAGATGCGACCTTCAGGAGAGAGAGAGAAGCAGGGAGGTTGGGAAGGGTCACAGGGGGCCGGCTCTTGTATGACGTGAAAGAGAGAGCAGCCGACAGTGGTCTGGGAGGAGGACCCAAGCTTGCACTCGAGTCCGTCTTCTCCTGTTTTGTGAAGGTTGTGAACCACTCTTTCTGGTTAAAACTAGACACACGGCGTTCATAAGTAAGTGAAAAGATTGGAGCTGGATGGTTCAGGGGAACACGTGAAAGCGCCCTTTGCACAAGGTCCCAGACCTGTGCCTCGAGGCAGCCGGCTCTCCAGAGTTACCGCGTTGGGCTTATCATAAAAGAGGCATGCAACAATGCACCCATTATTGGCCTTATCCTCCTGACATTCCGCATGTAAATCCAGATCCCAGCCTTAAAAACAAACCAGTCGGGAAGCCCAGCAGCAGGCCTGGGGCAGGGGTGGGGCTGGTCTGCTCCCCTTGGGGGGTGGGGGGGCTCTGGCCTGTGCCTAATTCACAGGGACCTGCTGCCCCAGCCTTGCAAGGTGCCTGAGTCAGACATCCCTATCAGAGAAATGGTCCCATTCAAGAGACTGTTTGGCCCTTCAGCTAAAAAATACAAAAGGGAAAAAATGTTAGTAATCATAGGGAAACAGCTTGACAGGCTTAAATGACAACAAAAAAATAAACTTTAAATTAACTTTTATTAGTTGCTGTTATGGACTGAATGAGTGTCATGCACCCCCAATCATATGTTGAAGCCCTTCAACCTGATGTGACTGCATTTAGAAGTGAGGCCTTGTTGGGGTGGGGGTGTACCTAGGTCAGGAAGAGTGGGGCCTTTGTGATGGGACTTGTGACCTTCTAAGAATTGATGAGGAAGACGGGTTCTCTCCCCCATGCGAGGATAAAAACGAGAAGGTGGCCGACCACAAGCTGGGAAGAGGGCCCTCACCCAGAACCAAAACTATTCGCATTTTTGACCTCGGACTGTCTGACCTACAGAACTGTGAGAAATAAATGTCTGTTGCTTAAGCCACCCAGGCTGTGGTATCTGTTACAGCAGCCTGAACGGATCGAGACAGCTGTCTTACTGATGAGTTCAAGTCCCTACTCTTGCTTCTCTATTATGAATTTTTTTAGTTCAAAAAAATGAGTAAGATGGCTTGATTTACATACATGAACCAGAAATGTGAGATCTGCACCTGTACAATAACTCAATGTTCAAATGCCGGGAAGCTGCAGGCTGCAGAATCTGGAATTGCTCTCAACATTTACAAGTTTTCAGGTAACACCTACAGATTCGGGACTCCTGAAAAGCTAAAACCTGATGGAACAGGACTTAGTTAGGTCTCAGGGGGGAATATATGAAAATATCCTAAGTATGAGAAATAACTTTACCTTTAAACAAGCACAATGAGAAGTGGCCTGCTAGGAACCTCTGGATCCTCATCTTACTCACCACGCACCATAGGCACGATCACCCACTTCGCAGATGGACAAAGAGGCTCAGAGGGGCTGAGTGGACCGCCCGGGGCAGCGAGTGTCAGCAGCTGCCTGAACCCGGGCCTGCCTGGTCTCAAAGGACCACAGAGGATTTCAATCTTGGATAAGGATGGGGATAAGCTTTCCAAAAGAATTGTTGTAAGCTGTGAGGCAGGGAAAGGTTCTAACACTGGCTGCAAATCTCTCAGACTGGATTATACCTCCACTTTACGAAGGAGGCCTGACGTTACATCATAGAAGCGGAGCTCACACAGTTCCAGGTAGAGATCTAAACTGATGGGTTGGCTTGCCTCTTTAGGCCCAGCTCAGATTGCCATTGCTCTGTGCTGCATTCTGAGCCCCCCACTGTCCCTGCCGCCACCCCGCCCCCCTCCCTGGCCCCGGGTAGAAGGAATCCTCCTCCTTCGATCACTGGTTCCAACACATCTGCCTTGCACCATCTGTTGGGGTGAAGTTATCTTCTTAACGAGATAACATGTTTCTTCCGGAAACAGAGATGAAGAGATACTCCCCTGTTGACTGGGTTCCTACTGTCTGTCTATTCATCAAAATGAGCAAGAACTTTGGTACTAATTTATACAACCTATATTGCAATTACTTTTGTTAGTTTCCTGGTTTTGAAATCAGTGAAATCCTCAGTTTTCAGAATCACGCTTGGCCCAGAAGTTTAAAACTTGGGTAGGGCAAGAGAACAGAAAGCTCAAACTCGGTTTGAGTTTTAAATATCAGCCAAATGGGTGACATTTAAAATGCTAACAAACCAAACCCTCCTTAATTAACAAATAATCACCCATGATCTCATTAAGCAAGTGAAACAGAAAAACAGAATATTTACAAGAGGAAGAGAAACTTTTGGATAAAATTGACTTATTTTGGGGATAAAATCTAAGTTCAGTTAGAAGGCCTAGAATTCTCTGAACATTTTATAAACTCAAATTTAAGGCTTTCTGAATTATCCCCTACAACCTCCTCCATTTTTCTGCATTAGGGCTCAAAAAGCTTCTTTAGCCTCTCAGCTTTTTGTTAACTTATTTACCCCTTCCTCCAAACCAATATATGTATGTTTATCTCCAATTCTAGTTCATACAAGCCCTCAAATAAACAACTCGTTCTTTAGGAGCCAAGTTAGCACTGTAAGGGAGTTTGGTTCAGTTAACAAAAGTGACACATTAGAAGAAGAATGCTTTCCCAATAGAAAATACCTAAAGCCACAGGGAGTTAATTATTTCTGGATTTTTGTCCCCAACCTAAACTTCCTATTTTCATACAAAAGATGAGAGAAAAAAGACAAAATCACAGGGAAAACAAAACAGGATATCGCAGCCCTTCTGTATACAACATGATTCTAAGGACTGGCCTCTGTCTCCTAACTTCAAATCGCATCTCCGCTGGCGTGGTGCAGGGTCTCCCTGCGCGCACGGCACGCAACATGGCTCTAAGAGCAGACACCCAAGGAGCATTATGAATGGGTACAGAGCGACGACGACGAATTCAAATCTGCATGATTAGCATATCATTTGGAAGGAGCAAAAATAGCCATCTGTTCTCTGAACAGATTACAACTCCCTGCAAATAATTTAAGGCACTACTATTTGGTGTCCATCAGCTGTCTCTTTAAATGTAAGGAGAACAGGACCAACAGAAATGCCCAATTAGTTTTTGAGATATTCTACTCAAAATGTGCACTACATCTTCTACAAATAAAATTAAAATCCTTTAAATTTCTATTGCTAAAAGACTGAATGTCATCCCACCAGGATAAAAGTCACTAATATTTCTGAGCTGCTGAATCAAAGACAAAGGCACATTCAAAAGACTATTACGCGGTTTACTAATGATAGAGGGTTGCTAGGAAGGACCTGGACACGGTAGCCTTCCAGCCATTCAACGCAGGTCTGCACAAGAGGGAGGTGCCATGTGTTCACCTGAAATTAGACCAATAAAAACAAAGAACTTTAATTGAGGGTGATGTAAGTCAACGCTGAACACAGACAGTGAAATGCTTGTGGCATTAAAGCTCAAGTTAACAGTACTGTTAACGTAATATTAAAATGCTGACATTTTTAGAATTCAAGTCATTAAATGGCACTAACTAGTTTAAAATTAAAATGTTCTTCTTTTTTTTTTAAAGGCATTCTGATACTCTACCATGAAGGTAAGGGTTTCAGGAAGCTCAGAATTTGAGGAAAGCCTAGACATTTTATAAAATATTAAGTTTTAAATTTCTGCTTCCCAGAGATGAAAACAGTGCTTGATTCGGAATCTAGATCTATAAGACTCAGAATCAGCTATAGGCAATTCCCTATTTAGGGAGACAGTACTTTGAGAAAGTTCCTCTGTCAATTTCTGTGTAAAATAGAAAACAGGAATTTTCAAATCTCTTTGAAACAAAGTTATACAAAGGTCCCTGGGCCACCACTCTAAGTGTCTAACCGATCATGTGCCTGACGTCTGAAGAGAGGGACCCCGTCACCACATCCTCGGGGACAACGAGGTCCTAACTGCTTCCCAGGCACTGGGAGGAGGACTCCACTGCTATACACCTGCTCCCAGGAGGTCCGGCCGAGGAGGGCAGGGTGGGGGGAGCTTAGCCCAGGGGTGGCCTGCAGCCACCTTACTGACAGCCACAATTCAGGATTCAGGGCCAGCTCCTCCTCTTCACCTGCCCAGGCAGGGAGTACTCTTGACTCCTACTGGAACCACCTGTTGTTTCTAAGAAACCTGGTTTTCTCCTTACACTGATCTACTGAACAAGCCCGAAGCCGTCCTGTGATCAGGCTCTAAGCAGCCGATGACCGCTGAGTGCCGAAACGCAGCGTGCTGCAGCCCCCACTGCAAGTTCTCTGACTCAAGTCCTATCTTCGGCAAGTGCTGGGAGCAATGCAGCCGCAGAGCCAGGCGGATGACTCCTGCTCTCAAGCTCAAGTGGGGCCTGAAATGACCGTCAATAACCCAAGGGAGCTAAACGGTCTGGGCAGGAGCTCAGGACGACCATCAGCGCTGGGCCTGTGTTAACAGGAGGTCCGGTCCCGCCTGAGGGATCAGAAGCCTTCCTGGGGCAAGGGGTTGGCCAGGCAAAGGAGGGGGTCCTCACAAATACAGCCCCCACCCGACGACTACCCCGACTGCAGTGTAATCTCCTGGCTGGCTGCCCAGAGACACAGATAAACTGAGCACATCCCCCAGGGTACCATGTCCCATAGCCCCACCTCTAGATCATAAACTGCTTTAAAGCGAGAGACCCTGTCTTCTGCCCAGAAGATGGTTCCCTCACACAGCAAATATTAATGACCAATGTTTCTGAGCACTTTCAACCATCCAGCTGGATGGCACCCATTTCCATATCGAGCATGATACCCAAGCTTGAAGCACCCAAGGACGTGCCAGGCACGGTGATGCAACTTGGTTTCAGAACAGCGAAGACCTGGGCAACGAGATCCGAACAGCTGTGCTT